TACTAAGTTCACAGTTTCTTATAAACTTTTTATACAATGATATGACTTAATGGCATTAAACATATATATGTTTACACAAAAACATTTATAGATCAACCACACAAAAAAAAAAGATATCCAATCAAATTTCAAATCAAACTTATATTCATTATGATAATCGAGTTGATGAATTGATATTTCACAATGATATGATTATTACTTCTCATAGCCATAAGAGGTTCTCTTCATCATCTTCATGAACTCCTCCAAATTAACTTCTCCATCTTCTGCATAGGTTAAATGCAAAAACATGAATCTTAGAATGGATTAATTGATGCAAAAAAATTGTTTTAGAGATTATAAATGTTTTCACTTACTGTCACGATCTGCCTCTTCGATCATTTCTTCTATATCATTATCTGTGAAATTTTCTCCCAACTCTTTAGCAATTTGTTTGATATCGTGATGTGAAATCTTCCCCTAATAATATTCCAATTTTTGTCAAGTCAAAGACAATGAAACTAATTCAAACAAAGAAATAAATAAATGTTTAAAAAGGATAGGTTTGGAAATTAACATTGTTGTCGTGATCAATGATCTTAAATGCCTTAGACAATTCTTCTATCGAGTCTCGTTCTCCAAATTTAGTTGTCATCATATACACGAATTCGTCAAAATCTATTGCTCCACTTTGGTCTTTATCTACTTCTGCCATCAATTCGTTTATTTGCTGCACCATATATAACAACAACAAAAAAACACACACACACACGAATTCTCATCTCGATTCATATAGTCAAACCTAACCGAAAAGCATAATGAACATAAACCATATATACTAAATTGTGTTTCAATTTACATTGATCTCTAAACCGAGAAATTTGAAAATAAACAAAGATGAGTTGTATAAACAAAATTAAAAGGAAGCAAAACTATAATTTGATGAAGAACAAACCTCATCATTCATCTCAAATCCGAGAATCCTGTAATCAGATGATAATCTTTTTAGTGCTAACTAAAACTTCAAGAATATTCATGAAAGAAAGAAAAAAATTCCACTAACCTCATAGCAACGTGGAGCTCACGAGCATCGATGGTACCTATATATGAAATGATGCATAAATTATGTGATTCTGATTTAGACCTGTGTAAACCGGATAAAGAATCGGTTTAATAACTTACCTGAACCATCTATGTCGAAGAGATTAAAGATATCTTCGATCTCTCGTCTCTTCTGCTTAGTCAACCCATAAGTCTTTCCTTTAGGTTTCAGACCACTTCTGAGTTGTATTGCTTGGGACCTGAAACTCGCCTGCAAGAAAACAGAACCGATGAAACAGATTTAGCAGAAGAATCTAATTTGTGTTATGAAAGAACTAAGAGATGATCAAGAAAAGAAAAAACACTAACCATTTCTTGCGTGGTAAGAAAAGGGATGATCTGATTCAGACAAATTATGGATTTAAAAATAGATGAAAAGTTTAAGATGATTTTGTTAAACAATTATGGATTTAATGTTTAAGATGATTTTGTTAATTTGGTTTTTTTTTATAAGATGGTGACTAGATGATGATGTGTCTCTTTTTGTCTGATTATGAAGTCTTATGAAAGACTTTTAGTTTTGTACGCTTTTGTTCTTACCACTACTTTTTTTAAAATAAGGAAATATTTGCGCTTTAAAACAAGTCGGAGAACTCGATTAGGCATTTGACTAATTAAGCTATTTTCTCGTATTCTCTAATCACCATTTGACACATCCTAGATTACACTTTATGTATTTGTAATGGGTTATTTCGATAAATAGAAGACCTTTGAAATCACTAGCAAGTGTTCACCAAATTTTTATTACATTTTTTAGACCTCTCCTTTTGGTAAGTGATAAGTTATAGATAGTGTTAAAGAGTGATAGTAGTAAAAGGAAAGTAGAAAAAGCTTATGAAAGATAAAGGAGCTTATATCATGTGACAAAATTTGTATAATGAGTTCTCATCCTGCTATACAAAAGAACTTTACAACCTAACCGACCACAAAACAGTCTGGTTTAATCGCGAGTCGCCAAATCTTGACCATCCTATCATCACTGGCCGAGGCAAGCAACCGGTTCCCCTCCTGTTACAGGTTACAACCGCAACAAGAAGTTTAGTGTTTATATGCGAAACAAGAAGTTTAGTTTTGCTAAAACGTTATTTACGTTTAGTGTTTACACTGTTTCATTAACACATTGATCTATTTAGTACAATGATCATTAAGCTAATTCTATAGTGACATGATCTTAGAGAACACCGAAAGCTTCTTTGATAGCATGTACAACACGCGACGAAACTTCTTCACCAAACATTCTTGGAAACTGTAAATCCAAATCTTCTTCTATGCTCTTCTTTCTAAAGCTTTTATCTCTTCGATCCAACTCCATTTTCTCTTCTTCACCTATCACTCTCTTCTCTAATTCTTCATTCGCGCATCGCTCCAACCAAACCCCGAGAACTTCCTTAGCAGCTGGACTCACATGATCCCTCAAGATTTCCTCCAACTTTTCCTCTTCCTCCGCATCGATTTCAAGCATCGAAGCTGTAGGAGAGAAAGCAGCGCGGACAAAGAGAGATGGCGAAACATAAGGTTTGATTTCAGGAAGCTTAAGTAGCGATTGGCGATGAGTATCAAGAGAAGTGTCTTGGTAATACTCCTTGAGATAATCCGGATGACGAACGAGGTCTTTACGATGAGGAAGGTCGAGAATGAGAACGAGCGATTTCGGACTGCTCTGTATGAGTTCAACTACAAAGTTTGGAGCTCTTGTTGAAGAGTTTAAGAATCCAGAGATGCTTGTTATGTTGAGTGATACACCTGTTGGTATCTTGCAATGTATCCAACTTCCTAT